TTTTTTTTTTTTTTTTTTTTTTGTGGTACCAGAGATCAAACTCATGACCTTGCACTTGCGAGGCAGGTGGCAATGCCACTGAGCTAAATCCCCGGCCCAAAAAAGGATTTTTTAAAAGCCAGCGTTTCCTGGGGTAAAATCTGCCTTGCAAGAAACAGCTACCTATGCGACTGGAGCAAAGAGCAAATCTGGGTCAATTCAGTTGAAAGAGTGGATGGAGCCTCTTTGTCATTCCATTGCTAAAGTAGATACATAAATTTCTAAATTGTGTCTGGTAAAGCAGATCTAGTACTTGGATCTGGGTTTTTCTTGTGCCCAAGTGTTCAACACTTTTTTTTTTCCTTGACATAGGCTCTCAATAAATTGCGTGGGACAGCCTTGAATTTGTGATCCTCCCGACTCAGCCTCCCAAGTCTGAGAGGCCAGTCGTGATGGTTACACCTGTAATCCCAGCACTCAGGGATTTGAGCTCCAACCCCAGCCTGCAGTGTAGTGGTTTGGTTTGGAAGAGACAGGATCTCACTATGTTGCTATCTCGCTGCCAAACTCCTGAGCTCCAGGAACCTTTCATCCTCAGCCTCAGCCTCCTCAGTTAGCTGGGGTTACCTCCCCCAGATTTTAAACAGGTACTTATCCAACAGTCAGTACTTACCAGACCTAAGCATGCACATATCCTGCCTTAGCCAATTACTCCTTGTCCCTTAACTTCCTGAATGTCCATCCTCCAATTCTATAACTCAATAAAAGAAGAAAAAGGCCAGGCTTTAGCTCAGTGGTGCTGCCGCCTGCCTTGCAAGCACAAGGTCCTGATTTTGATCCCTGGTACAGATAAATAAATAAAAATAAAAGAAGAAAAAAGGAAATGTGTGTACATAAACCTTTCCTTAAAGATTACATCAGATCCCTGCTGTCGGGACCCTTCTCCCACCGGTTCCTCCTGTTTACTCTGCCTTTGGTACATTCGCTTCTCTTTTTGCTGTGGGCCCTTTAAGCTCAGTAACCACTGAGCAACTGTCAGTGCTGCAACTGTCATGGGTTCTGAAAGGCTGCCTCTGGGTTCTTAGAAACATTAGGGTTAGAAGCGCCTTCAGTATTAATCATGGCCTCCGAGGATATTCTTCAAGGTAAGAGCTTCATTTAGAGGGGTTTTGTACCCTGTTCTTTGATAATTATTTTCTGTGCTATACATTTACAGTGAGATTCTGCCGTCCTGTTGTCAGTCATGCAGGTGGCGTAAGCACTCACATACTTACTGGCTTTGATTTAGGTCGTTTTTTAGGACCAGCAATGCCGTTAAACCCCTTTACCTGTTTGTCCCGTGCTATACTTTTGCAAGCTGACCGGGATAAGGAATTCATTGACTCTGAACAGAGGTTTTTCTGAGCAAAGATGATGCAGCTACTACCTCCATGTTTTATAAGCTGCCTTACAGATCAGGCTCTCACATTTAAAATTTTTGTCAAAACTACACATACAGAGAACACATTCTCTTTGAGGAATCTTTTTAGATATGCTTAATCTGAGGTGAGGCCCAGAAAATAGTCATGATTATTAATTTGTGTGCTTCTAAAAAGTCAGCTGTTCCGTGATTTAGACAACATTACCCAATTTGTTCTTTAACATTTTCTTGCGATCTTTATTTCAGCTCCAGCGTGCTGCTCTGCTCGTTACAACTTAGCAATATTGTCCTTTTTGGGTTTCTTCGTTCTCTATGTCTTACGTGTGAACCTGAGTGTCGCGTTGGTGGAAATGGTAGATTCAAATACAACTGTAGCAGACAATAGAACTTCCAAGGAATGTGCAGACCATTCAAGTCTTGTGAAAGTTCCTCGTAATCAAACGGTAGGTGCTACTTTTTAAGCAGACAATCTTAGCTAACCCTAAAATGCTTCCAAGTAAAAACATTAGAGTCTCTTCCACCAGAAGAAACCAAAACATGCATTTTTGTGTTCTCTGGGTCACATTCTTTGTGTTCTCCCAGGGACTGGTGGAATAGTAACATAGTCATAACTACTGTGGCTGGGCTATCATACTCCTTGATCTGTTTGATCAGTAGTTCTTCAATTCCTTCCGTAATTACACCATCCTTGAAAAGAATTTGGAAAAACTTGTTCAGCATATCAGAAAATTAGATTGTTTTGAATATTGTTAAATAGTTTTTATAGGACTGTTATTCAGTTGTTCTTACACTTACAGGGTTACAGCTATAGGAGAGTTTAGGTAATCTCAGAGGCAGGATGAAAAATAAAAACTAGTCGGTTTCTTAGGACGTTCTTTTCCAGAATTTAAACATGGCCTAACCAAGTGTGATGGTTCACACCTGTGATCCAAGCATTCAGTAGGCTGAGGCAGGAGGATCTCCGTGAATTCAAGTCCAGCCTTGGCTACATAGTAAATTCAAGGTCAGCCTGAACTACACAGACCCTGTCTCCAAAAAAAATTAATTAATTTAAAATAAATAAATGAATATGCCTAACCTAAGTTACTGGGTTTTTTCTAGCTTACTTTTAAGTCATCTTGCCTGACTTGTGTTATAGAGGAATTGAAAAATGCATGTTCATTTGTTTAGAGTTGAGTTTTGCGCACTTGCAGTATTTTACACTGCTTTATCTAACATTAACAATGTTGCTGAACAACATGTTTGGGTAGGCATCACCTGATTTCTCCACTCCAATCTATGACCTACCTGAGCAACACTGCTGGACAATTCATGAAACCTAGAATTCTACAGGTAAACTACAAACCGGATGCACAGTGGTTTGCTTGGTGTGTTTCCCTTTGACGAGTGTATTTGTTGAGTCAGCCGCTTACCTTCCTCTCCCAGGTGAAGGCAGTACAAGGAAGTCCTGGAATGCTCGTGACAGTGTCTTGTTTGTACAACTCCATGCACTACAGACCTCAGCTGTACAGACCAGACACTAGAAGTCTGTTAGTATCTGACTTTTGCTGCTGCCGATTAAAAGACAGGTCTCTCACGTGAAGTTTATGGCTTAGTTTAAATTCTTGCTCTTGTGTAGTAGTCCATGCTTGTTCAAGTGTGTGATCTGAGATATCTGTGTTTATGCATGCTCATCGCCAACATAAAGTCGGCACTTACAGTGCAGCAGGGCTTGTTTTGTGTGCCTTTTTCGTTTAGTCTTCCCAGATCCCACACCCAGTAAGTGATCCACCTAGGCTCAAGCCCAGGCCAGGTTTTGAACCATGGCTCAGTCACTATAGTTCTTGTTTAATAGCTTTCAGATTATGCCTGGGGCTCTTGTTTGAGCCTTCTTGGTTAACAGCTCATCCTCTAGTTTAATGAAATAGCAAGTCTTGGTGAAGTCTGACTTTCAGTTCCTTTCCACTTACAGAAACTGCTTGTCTGAATTGTGATAACTCATCCACCTACTAGAAAATGTGTGTGTTTTTCAAGCAAAAACTGGTTCTGCTCGATGTGGTGACAAACCTTAGTAATCCCAATCACTTGAGAGGCCAAGACAGGAGGACCACGAATTTGAGGCCAGACTGGGCAACCTAGGGAAAGAAATCCTACCTTAAAATTGTAAAAGAACTGGGGCCAGGCATAGTGGTGCATCCCTGTGATCCCAACACTTAGGAGGCTGAGGCAGGAGGATTGTGATGAGTTCAAAGACAGCCTGAACTCCTGAACTGCATAGCAAGACCCTGTCTCAGAACAAACCAAAAATAAATAAGAGGACTGGGGATGCAGCCCAGCACTCCCTGGATTCAAGTAATGTTTCCCCAGTTTCATTTATGTGTACTTTCCTCACGAAAGGAAAGGAACTGTTCAGTCAAAGTCTGAAAGAACTGATCTTTCCTTGTGCTTTTTCCAGGGCAAAAGGTACCCATGGGATGCAGAAACTCAAGGATGGATTCTCGGTGCTTTTTTCTATGGCTACATCATCACACAGATTCCTGGAGGCTATTTTGCGAGCAAAGTAGGGGGAAAGCTGCTGCTAGGATACGGGATCCTCGGTACCTCTCTCTTCACGCTGCTGACGCCCCTTGCTGCGGACCTAGGAGCCGTGTCACTCATCGTGCTCAGAGCACTGGAAGGTCTAGGGGAGGTAACTTTGTCTGCCCCTTGTTTCCCTCTACTTAAAGGTGTAATTCTTGGGCTGAAGATTTAGCTCAGTAGCATTGCGCCTGACTCACAAGTGCAAGGTCTGAGTTCGATCCCCAGTACTGGGGGGAAAAAAAGATTTCATTTAATTCTTTAGTGTGAATACGAGCCAGAAAGAAACAGTGGACAGTAACAGGTCGGAACAAAGGTTGGCCAGAAGTAGGCAGGTCGTGGTGGCGCTCACCTATGATTCCAGCACTCTGGGTGGCTGAGGCAGGAGGATCACAAGTTCCAGTCCAGCCTGGGCAGTTTAGGATTTAGCAACACTCTGTCTCAAAAAATGAAGAAAGAAAAAAAAAAGCCTGGAGTGTAGCTCACTGTGAAGGCCCTGAGTTCAATCCCAGTACTGAAAATCAAATTTTTAAATTCTTATCTTTCCCTCTCTATTTCTCTTTTGTATACCTCCATCTTTGAATAACAATCTCCTTTCCTTTGTAACTTTGAACTCCTGTCTTTGAAACCCAGGCCCAGATTTATTTTTGTCTTGCATTCCCTTTAGACAACCAGGCAATATGGCTGCCTTTTGTTATGGAATAGAGCACGAAGGTGTGTTAGATGGCATTGCGTTGTGCTGTGTTGGAAAGCACAGTTGGTGACAGCAAATCAGAGCTGAAATAGTAGTGCCACGTATCTAACGACCAAACCTCTGGAACACAGCTCTATCATTTTTAAAATGGTGACTAAAATACCTGCCCGTCCTCAGCCACAGGTGGATACAAGGCTTATCTGTGATAATGTTTGCTAGATACTTTAAGATTTTCCAAGAACTACTTAAAGTTCTGTCACGCCTCTGAATGAGAGCTCTTTTTTGTGTTTAGCAATACAAATCTAATTACAAAGTAAAAATTACCCTTGTATTACCAGTTTCTTTTTTTCTTACCTGAGTAAAATGCATTTATTTTGTTGTATATTTTCTCTTATACAACTGTTGAATTTCCTTGCTGAATATATTCTTGTATCTTAGTTTCCTGTGTGTTTATGCCACTGCAGGTTTAACATGGCATATTGCTTGCTTTTCTACTGTTATATTAGGGGACCAGCTTATTTCTAAATAGAATATTTGATGGGGGTGGGGCAGGGTTTCACCATGTAGTTCAGGGTGGCCTTGAAATCCCTGTGTAACCCAGGCTGGCCTCAAACCTATGATGATTCTCCTGCCTCGGCCTCCCCAGCGCTGGGATTACAGGACTCCACCACAACACCTGGCATTTCTAAATAGAATATAAGTCGTGTTTAGACTCAGGTTCTCTCCTTTTTCTCCATCTTCAGATATGTATCGCATGCCTCATCCATGAACTTAGGTCAGTGTCTTTAATCCCAACTTAGTGACATACCTGCATTAACCCTCAGGTTTTGTAAATAAAACCCTAAGACATAATCTCTGTGAGCATTTCCAAGCATCCTCAGTTGTGTTCTATAATAATTTGCCCGTGAACACTCCATGACACAGATTTTCCATGTAATCTAAATCTTCCACTGGTATTTCTTTCTTCCTTTTTTGTTTTTGGCAGAATCAGCTGAAAGCACAAATTATTAAGGCATGTATTTTCTTCTCTCAATAAAAATAGCTGCCATTTATCTTTACAACAATCGTGCAAAACAGGGAGTAGTACCTACCTCTGTCTGACACGTAAGGAACTGTGGAGGACTCACTAGTCTTCCTGAGGTAGGAGGCCAGTGAGCAGCCGGGGGACTGCGCATCTGCTGACCTGAAACTTCCAGAACCTTCCTCCCTTCTCTCTGCAGCGCCCCCTCCAGCCCCTGTGCCCTGTTTCCTGTCCCCGTGAGCAGTCGGCCTTCCCCAAGCAACGCTCTCCCTGAGTTCATCCTCTTCACAGTTCTGATAACCTCCAGAGTTCTAGCTCAGCATGTTTATTTTTACTTTTTAAAGGAGAAAAGTTAATTTAGCTCACAGTTTGTAGAGGTTTCAGTCAACAATCAGCTGGCCCCAAGGCAGAGTGGCACACGGCAGCGTCCCAAGAGAACAGTTCAGGGCAGGCAGAAAGTAGCAAAGCACATGGGGGCTCAGTGTTTTTAAAACTTAAAAAGGGCCATATCCACATTACGTCTAGGCCATTAATCAAGGGAACGAGTACAATAAACCTTGAAAATGGTCCCTTGGTGTCACCACTCGGAGCATTCTTTCAGGGTTACTGTAACCCTTACCTCGCAGTCCCCATGCCCATTCAAAAACCCATAAGTCTTTGTCCATTTTGAAAGCACTTCGTTGAAAAGTGTTTTCACTTAACACCATAAAGACATTTCACTTCGTGGAGCCTGAATCTGGTTTGATTCTTATCAAAAAAAAAAAACTTTTGAAACAAAATGCTCAATTTCATCTAAAGCATTAACATGCGCTGCCTTGTATTTCATCCAAAACATCCCCTCGCCCAGGGTGTTACCTTTCCCGCCATGCACGCCATGTGGTCTTCTTGGGCGCCCCCTCTCGAAAGAAGCAAGCTTCTCAGCATCTCGTACGCAGGTAAGGGAACCGTTCTTCTCGCAGAGTTTTTGCTGTAATTTGTTGTGTATTTGCTAATCTTGGGGGAGAAGTGCCTGCCAGGCAGAATCATGCAGTATTGGGTGTTTCTTTGGGAAGAAAATAAACTTGGAGGTGTGGGGGGGGTCATCTTTATTATAAATTTTTCCTTTTGCTTCAGTAGTATGTAGTAATCTGTCTTAATTGACTTAATATTGTCTTTCCCATTTGCCACTATTTATGCAAAGTATGTTGTCTTTAATGTATTTTGAAAAATCAGTAGCTGGAAAATGAAGCACTGTTGTCCCTTAATTGTGATTTCTGATTTTATTGTTATGAGCGTATCATGACTCTCAACTCCTCTCTTCATTCATTTTCTTTTCTATGCATTTCTTTGGCATCATTTTGAGCTATGGATTAGGTAACATGAGCTTTGTGGGTGTAAATTACATTTTACCAGATCATGGAAGAGCTTCTGGTCTTTCTTCCATTGACTGAGTGGAAAATTTTCCACTCAGCTGATTTGAGAAAGGCCTGTCTGTGGTGACTTAGAAGCTAAAATCCAAAGGAGAAGAACAAAGCAAAGGGCAGAGCAGAGAGAAGAGCATCCCAGACCCCAGAACAACATACGTAAGTGCTCTCAGGCAGGGGATAAGATAACAGGCCACAGAAATGAGAGAGCACCCAGGAGGCCAGGACATAAGGAGAAAAGGTCGTGGCCTGAGATTAGAGAACTAGACAAGAATCAGACTGTATCAAACCTTAAAGGAATGTATATATTTTCCCAAAAATACAATGGGGAGACAATAGAAATTTTTAATCAAGTGAGAGACTGGATCCTGTTTTAATTTTAAGATCGCACTTGGAGCTGTGAAGAGATTGACATGACAATCTGACGCTGAATTCCAAAGCAGTGCCCTCTGTCTGTGCTAAAGAAAGTCTAAGTTCCTAGGGCTCGAGATGTTTTAGCCTGCGCCACTTCACTGCCCCTCACCCAGGACCTGACTCCTAGTGCCTGGCATTGAGTCAGCTAACCCTTCAGCCTGGTGTTTTTAACCTTAATTTTCTATTCTTTTTTTCTTCACCCAAGTAAAGTTCCCAAATCCACTGTTTTCTGCTGCCTTGCTTATCCTGTGCACTACCTGTGTGTCTTCTTTCTCACCTTATTTCTTTGGGGCAAGTCTTCCCTTTTGTGAAAATCTGGATGCCACTAGAGCTTATGTCTTCTCCTCACCTCTGGAGGTCAGAAATAATATCTCCCATGGGCTGGGGATTTGGCCCAGTGGCACCCACACCTCCCTCGGGAGTGCAAGGTCCTGAGTTTGATCCCCCCAACACAAAAACAGAAAAAAGAAAGAATCGAATATCCCGCCTTTGAACTCCGTATGGCTCTGACACTTAATACTTCCTGACACTCCCTTAACACCGCTTTCTAAGTCTGAAGCTCATGACTACAAATAATATCTGATTCATCAGTTTAGCTCCCATTGCATTTACTAAGAGGTCCCACATTGACAGTCAAAATGCTTTATTTTATTGTTTATGTGCCTGAAGCAATTGTTGTAAGATAGGCTTCATTCCTATTTCAGCAAGTCTGCTGTAATAAGCTATAGTTTTCAGACTTCGAGACTGACTTTGACGCTCTTCCCCATTGTAAGGAGTCTGCCCTGGTGACTGGTGCCTCCTGATTCATAAACGGCTGCCTAGTTGTAAAGGATGGAACTGCATATCAATGTGTATATTTTACCTATTTCAGGTTCTCTAGAAAATAATCCCTTGAGAGAATGTATTGCTTACATTTACATGTGACTAATTTAACTCTGTTGTATGTTAGTAGATTTTTTTGTTCCTTGTCACCTGTTCCCTAGGCCGTTTATTTGTCCGTTTATTTATCTGTGTTGTGCAGTACTCGTTATAGAACCCAGGGCCTCATGTGCGAGGCAAGTGCCCTGTGCTGAGCTGCACCCGGCCCCATCCTCTCGAAGCGACAGACCCATCCTGCTGTGTTATCTCCTTCCAAAGCTTATGAAGTCTTGTGTTGTTGTAGGAGCACAGCTTGGAACAGTGATTTCACTTCCTCTTTCTGGAATAATTTGCTACTATATGAATTGGACTTATGTCTTCTATTTTTTTGGTAAGTTTAAATTTTTAGCCTAAATTCTTATGTAACAGATAAAACCTGTAATAGTAGTATAATAATTAGCCAAAGGTATAAAGTCTGACGCACCGAGGTAATTGTCCCCTAACCACAAGGTTCTAAGAGACTGACAACCTGTTTTTCAGGTTGATGTGGTTAAAAGGATCCATCGAGTTAAGGCCTGATGTTAGTCTTGGAATATTTCTCAGTAGGAACAGCTGTTGAATCATGGACTTCAGTGTCAGAAGTTACTGTCTTCAGTATTAGAAAAATGTGTGTTTTAGCTGTGCATGGTGGGGCACACCTTAATCCCAGCACTCGGAAGGCTGAGGCAGGAGGATTACCATGAGTTCAAGGCCAGCCTGAACTACATAGTGAGACTGTATCTCAGAAAAAAGAAAAAAAAATGTGTGACTTGAGAATATTTTCAAGCAAGTAGGATACTCTCACTTGTTTGAATTTTTTTTTTTTTTTAGTATCATGGTATGTTTCACATTCATGGCATGATAATACAAAAATTAATAAATTAGATTTTCACATTGGCATTTTGTATATAATTTTAAAAACAGAGCAAATGCCTATAGAAATACATAGATTGTAGAAATTTATTTTCAAAAGATTTGCATTGTAGATTTCCCTATAGACATCCATGTGGTTAAAAGTTTTCTTCAAAATACATAGGAAGTGGGCCAGGGATTTAGCTCAGTGGTTCCGCTACCTGCCTCTCAAGCACAAGGACCCAAGTTTGATTCCCGGTACCGCAAAAAAACAAAACAAAATATAGGAAGTAATACAATTATAGCAATTCTTCCATTAAAGTGAAATTTGAAATTAAATTTAATTTATAGTGAATTTATAGTTACATAATTTTGTCATGACCTGTAAAAATCAGTTGATAATTCTAATTTTATTTAACTTTTATTTTTCTATTTAAAGGTATACTTGGAATATTGTGGTTTATTTTGTGGACCTGGAGAGTTAGTGATACACCAGAAACACACAAGACAATCTCCAGTTATGAAAAGGAATACATCGCTTCATCATTAAAAAGTCAGGTATGGACTTGGCACATATTGAAAAAAAAATTGTGTTTTTTATTTATTTTTTTGGTACTGGAGATTGAACTCGGGACCTTGTACTTGCAAAGCAGATGGCAGAACCACTGAGCTAAATCCCCAGCCCTTGAAAAAAAAAATTGGAACTTTTTCCCTTCAGAATTAAGATACCAGGGCCAAGGATTTAGCTCAGTGGTTCTGTCACCTGCCTCGAAAGCACAAGGGCCAGAGTTTGATCCCCATTACCAAAAAAAAAAAAAAAATTAAGATATCAGCCAGGCGTGGTGGAACACTCCTGTACTCCCAACACTCAGGAGGCTGAGGCAGGAGGATCATCTCAAGTTTGAGGCCAGCCTAGGCTACACAGCAACACCTTGTCTCAAAAAAAAAATTAAGATACCAGTTTTTTAGGTAGATATGTCAGCCCAGCAAGTGACACCGCCAATAATCACAGTGTTCGGGAGGCTAAGAGAGAAGGGCCCTGAGTTTGAGGCCAGTGTGGAGTACTCAGTGAGATCTTGTCTCTAAAGACCAAATAAATAAATAACTATACATATACATAAAAATAAAATAGATATTTCTTATTTCCTTAAACAAAGTAGAATAGGCAAATGAAATAAATGTACAAAATACTGTCTGAAGAATTCCAATCTTTCTAGATTAAAACTATGAAAAATTACTTTTTAAAGTCTTTTTTTTTTGTGTGTGGTTTTTTGAGGCAGGGTCTCACTGTGTAGTTGAGACTGACCTGGAACTCACTATGTAGCCCAGGCTGATCTCGAACTCACAGTGATCCTCCTGCTTCAGCACTCAGGAGACTGAGGCAGGAGGATTGCCATGAGTTGGAGGCCAACCTGAGCTACACAGTGAGTTCAAAGATAGCCTGAACTGTAGAGCGAGACCCTGTCTCAAAAGCGGGGGGCAATAAAAGGGCTAAAGTAGTTTTAGCCTAGTGTGGTGGTGCACACCTGTAATCCCAGCACTCAGGAGGGTGAGGCAGGAGCATCGCCTCAAGTTCAAGGCCAGCCTGGACTACATAGTTCAAAAGCCTGAACTGCATAGCAGGACTGTCTCAAAAAGACCAAAAAAAAAAAGATGTCCTGGGGCTCTGTGGTAGAGCGCTTGCCTAGCTTGCACACGACCATCGACTCAATCCCCAGCACCAAACAATGCAGTTATTTTAAACCTTTTAGAGCAGTCATTATCAAGTGAGTTTTACTTTGGTTTTTCCTTTTTTAGTTAGTAGAAAATGAAATGTGGTATCTAAAAGAATTGTACAACTACCTCGTAATCATTTATTGTTAGTAAACTGACCAGTGTCTGGGCCAGGTGGTGTAAACCTGTATTCCCAGCTGCTCAGAGGCTAAGGCAGGAGGACGCCTAGCAGATCGCTGGCCCAGGAGTACCAGGCTGTGGGCTTGACCCTCATTCCCTGTTATCATTCAGTGCAGCAGATTCTCACGCCATAAACAATATTTGCCTTTTGGGTAAAGTGAAAGAACATAAGATTATGAAAAATTTTAAATGCAAGCATTCTTTGGATTTGTTTGTTTGTTTGGGTTTTGTTTTCTGTCTTTTTTTTTCTTTTTTCTTTGGTACCGGGGATTGAACTCTGGCCTTTGTGCTTGCAAGGCAGGCGAGCTAAATCCCCGGCCTTTGTTTTCTTTTTTGACACAATCTCACTGTGTATTCCAGGCTGGCTTTGAACTCACTATGTGGCACAGGCCAGCCTCGAACCCACAACAGTCCTCCTGCCTCAGCCTCCTGAGTGCTGGGATTACAGGTGAGCACTACCATGCCTGGCTTTTGTCGCATTCTTCTGCCTTCCACGTCATGTTAGTGGCTTAACAACATTAAATATTTCACGTAAAATGTCTGTTGCCCATTGTTACTATGATTGTTATGTAAAATTTGAATGCATCGTGTAACTAGGCAATAACTAAAAATTTATTCATTGACATTTCTTTCTGAATTTTAAATTTTTGCCTCATATGTCTCTACAAGCTGCTGAACTTTAGGAAATATGGACTCTCTTGGCCTTTTTTCAAAGGCTGACAAATGTGAAAAAAGAAATCAGCAATGTAATAAAGAGAATTCCTTTAAAAGTTTAGTTTCAAAACAAAAAAGGTTAGCCAGGGGTTTGGCTCAGTGGTTCTGCTGCCTCCCTTCCAAGCACAAGGGCCCAAGTTCAATCTTTGGTACCAAAAAAAAAAAGAAGGTAAAAAAATAGTTTAGTATCACCATAATTCTAATCAGATGAGTCCCTATCCCATAAGTAGATAAAATTTGATGTTTTGCCATGTTTTTCAGGATTGACAGTTAGTAGCTGTAATACTTCATTTTTACTGTTACTATTATGAGTTTATGATGTTTCTTAGTATATTTAGATTTTTTTTCCAGTACTGGGGATCAAACTTTCTCTTGCCAGGCAAGGTGCAGCACCATTGAGCTACATCCCTGACCTATTTAGATTTTTTTTTTTTTCTGCACTGAGGATCAAACTTAGGCCCTTGAGCTTGTGAGGCAGGCAGCAGCACCACTGAGCTACATCCCCAGTCCTTATTTATATTAAAAGAAAACAAAAATCTTTCTCAGCCACTTGTGGCACATTTCTGTAATCCCAGCAATCAGGAGGCTGAGGCAGGAGGATCACTGAGTTTGAGGCCACCCTGGGCCACATAGTAAGTTCAAGACTCACTATGAATTACAGCCTGAACTACATAATGAGACCCTGTCTCAAAAAAACAGCAAACAAAACAAAAAAGCTTTCTGAACCTTGCTATGTCTTAATCTAATATCCAAACCTAAGTGGTTTTCAATGTGCTTCAGAAAATATAATTTTCAGAAACAAGAGGAATTGGTAGGATTAGTTTTCATTAAACCCCAGTGTTCTATCTTAAAGGAAATTATGTAGTTGAAACATTATAAAATAATGATGTGAGAGCACACACCTGTAGTCCCAGCACATAGAAGGCTGAAGCAGGAGGATCCTGCCTGAGTTGAGACCCTGTGTCAAAAAATGAGGGCTGGGGATTTAGCTCAGTGGTACTGTGGCCTGCCTCGCAAGTGCATCCTGAGTTCGATCCCTGGTACAAAAATTAATAATAATGGTGAAAAAAATAATGATGATGTGTTCCATGGAGCTCAATCTTTAAGTCTTGGCTCTGAGAAATGTGCAGCATCTCCTGTACTGTTTTTTTGTTTTTGTTTTTTGGTTTTTCTCGGTACCGGGAATTGAACTCAGGGCATTGCACTTGCCAGGCAGATGCGGTGCCACCGAGCTACATCCCTGACCCCTTCATTCATGCTTTGAACTTTTTTTTTTTTTTTTTTGAGAAGTTAGGTTCTTCACGGGAACTGAGAACTTAAATAAAGGAGGGGAAAGAAGGAGTGGTTTCTCCGAGCCTGTGGATGGAGACCCACCGTGGAACGTGGCCTGCAGGGGGCAAGTGTGGGCGCAGGTGGTTCGCTTCTCGCGGGAGCTGTCCCGAGCCCTGCGTCTTCAAGCCAAGGCCGGGGCTGGCTGCCCTAGGAGGAAAGCCCACCAGGGGGCGCTCGGGGACCGTCTGGAAGGGCTTGTGTCAGTGTAGACTTGGGCTGGATGGCTTAGGGGAGAGCTTACAAGGGCCAGTGTTTTGCTCTGGATTTGGCGCTACTTATGGGATTGTAAAATATTAATTTTTCTCCAGAAGGGGCTAGATCTGTAAAGGCAGCCCCCGTGTACTGGCGAGAAGAGGAAGGTGCTTGCTTTTAGGTCGTCTGTCCAGGCTTGGACCTGCCTAGGGAGCAGGTTGCCCCCCCTCTGGTGGCGTCTCGCTCCCCGAGTGGCCTGGCTGGGAGGACGCAGGTAGGGCAGACAGGGCCTGATCTTTCCTTTCCCGCTGGTGGCAGAACTCAAGTGCCTGGAAGGCGCCTGGCAAAGAAGCTGCGGTCAGCAAGCAGGGGGCGGTGCGCCCAGAAGCGCAGCAGCTGGGGTCTCTGACGAGCGGAAGCTGCTGGGTCCTGGTCCCCTCCTAAGCTCCGTGCGGCCCTTAGCTGTGCACGCTCAGGGCGAGGCGGGCTCCGGGGGAAGGGGCTGCCCTGCTCCAGGTCTCTGGCTGTGACTCGGGGCTGTCAGTGCACCGAGAGGAAAGTCCCAGGCTGATGGCAGAAACCTGCACTTCGACCAAGTGTGTTTTTGTGCGGTGGAACCTGAGATTCCTTATTTATCAATGGAACGTCTGGTTTGTGAGGCTGGAAGAAGTTACTTGTTCTGACGGGATACTTCCCACAAGAGGCTCTTTTGAAGGCAAGGCCTAGGGTTGAAAAAGCACAGCCAGCCTCTAAAATCATAGCTCCCCGTGGTCTCGGCAGAAAGCTGTCCCTCAGCCCTGAAAATCACTGGAGTAGTGCTTTTTTGGAAGCCTTCTTAGGCAAGGATGGTTGGTTCGCGGTGATTTGAGTGCTCCTTGAGATTTTAAGGGCAATGAGATTTAAGAGTTGTAGGCGATGAGGAAGTTTGTTCACGGTCTGATTTACAAATGAAAAATTTTGTGTGAATTGTTTTGGTCTTCACCATTTCCTTACACATGTGTACCTTCTGACCCCTTGTTTTGATTTTGTTTTTGGCTTCACTTTACATTGGTTCATTGTGGCTCCTTGTTAATGAGGAAACAAGTCACAAGAAAGCTTCTGTTTTATTTCCCTGCTGGTGACACCTCAGAAAGGGCTCACTGGACAAAGTTAGTAATCTGTATAATACGAGCTCTGGCTTTCACTAGAAACTCTGGGAATGACCTTCCTTCGGAAGACGGGTTTTCCTGCAGTGTGGATTGCTTGTATAACTCCACAGAAGACACTGGCGGTGTTGTGTACAGATCCGTCACTCCCAGAAGGCTGAGCACCTGTTCCTTCTCTGTTGTCAGGAGTGTGTGCTGGCTGATGGGAAGAATGAAGTTTTGCAGAAAACGAAACAAAATAGCTTGTTTTTTACAAACACTAAAACTAGAAAGCTTATCCATCTCCTCTTGAAATTTTTTTTTTCTCAAAAAAAACGGGGGATAAGAAAATGTCATCTGAAAGAGACTTTTCCCCTTACACCCTGCAGCAGCCGTGGCAGGCCGGGGAGAGATCCAGTCGGCTACAGGGATAGTCTCACTCACACTTTTTTTTTTTTGGTTGTTTGAGACAGGGTCTCACTATGTAGTTGAGACTGAACTGGAACTCACTATGTAGCCCAGGCTGGAACTCACAGCGATCCTCCTGCCTCAGCCTCTCCAGTGCTGGGATTACAGGTGTGAGCCACCACGCCCGGCAACTCGCACTCCTGTTTCTCTTCCGAAGTTGCAGGTCCGCTGTCTCCAGGGTGAAGGTAGAAATGGAACAAGGGGAGAAGGGATGTAGAATGTGCTTTCCTGGCCGTAGTGAGGGTTTGCAGCTGACTTTGGTGCCTTGAGTAGACTCTCACCTACTTTGGATTGGCTGGGTGGCTCTGCGCACCGTTGTTCTGTTTTGTACTGTTTCTCTAGCTGGCAGTTACACCCCCACTCACCTTCGCCTTTGTTAGCTTGGACTCTGAATTTCACATCATCAGATAGTTTAGGTGGAATGTTTTTTTGGGTTTTTTTTTTGTTTGTTTTGTACCAGGGATCAAACTCAGGACCTTTCACTTGCAAGGCAGGCAGCAGAACCACTGAGCTAAATCCCTGGCCCTAGCTGGGTATTTTAAAAATAAAGCGGCATGAAAACTTTTTTTTTCTCGGATGGGGAAAATATATTCTCCCTCCCTATACCATATTCCCTCCCACATTAAAAGCAATTAGTTATCTGTAATAATTAGAACTTCCAGTCTTTTTTTTTTTTTTTTTTTTTTTTTTTTTTT